CCCTGATCTGATCAAAAGGGCCCAGCTGATGCTCATGATGCTCGCCGGGTACGTTCTGAGCTGAGCTCAAAGTACCTGGTATTCTCAGTAGTTTCCTACTACATTTCGAGGTTCCCCGTTCTAAAGCCCTGTTAAATCTTATCAGCTTATGTCAGGTGAGCCCCTCTTCAGTATTTGACAGGAGTCTTTTAGTGTGTAAGGCCATCATTGTTTCAAAAAGTCTCATTGCTATATAGCGCTAACGCCCACTACAGCGAGAATCATGAAGTCATAACGTTGAAAACTTCCCAGATGCGGTACCACAACCTTTTGCAGTACAACTCTATACAGTAGGTAAGGAACACAGAGCGATGATTTTGAGCACTGCTTCAATAAGAAACCACAATCTTTCCAGGACATGGACAAACTTGCCGAGATCATCAAGGCGGTCAAGACCCTAGGGCAAAGCCAACGACCCCCACTGTTTAGGGTTTGGGATTTAGGGTTTCGAGTTTAGGGCCTCGGGTGTGCCGTCACTTTCCCCCAAGCCAAACATGTAGCTAAAGCGGAGTAGTGTATCAGTGGTCCTGGTTCTTGCTTGCTCAGCACATCAACCTTGAGCAGGCCGTTGGAACTAACATAAACTCATCTGGCTCCTTCTCATGTCATACATGCTCACATATACTGCCAGAAGACATGAAAGAACTGTGCCAGCGACCCTCGAGATAATCCAAACGCTCAACGAGGGTCTGTGCAAATTTTTCCGTTGGGTTCCTATCATGTGGATTTTCCTACGCCCTAAACCCTAAACCCTAAACTTCACTGTTTTAGGCTTTAGCGAGGAAACATCGTCGCCCAGCCCTACTTGCGTGTTCGGGGGGGCTCAGTGAGTATACTTGTCTAGATACCCCAGTAGTATGCTTTTTCCCCCTGTATTTGGGGTCTAGTTATTAAAGCTGACCATTAGCAAAAAGGGTAGCCTTATCATTAAGGGGTTACTGGGGAACCTAGTATTACAGTATTACAGCCCCTAAAAGCCATGTAGTAACCCCAGCTATCCCCATCATTTAGCTTACTGGGTCCCCACGATTTTTGCCGCTGCCGAGAAATTGGGCCATTCATTATGAGCTCAAGCGCCCTCTCCCTCATGCATAGCTAGATAGTTGTTTTGGGGGGTTCTAACACCATTTGGCCTTAGTTCAGGGTTCTGAAGTATCATAACTTGCTGGGACTGGCCATGTTATGGTTGTGTGTATATATATGTATATGTAAATGTCCCACCATGCACCCGAAAACTCTGACTCTAAGTGTCAAATCCTAAGTCGTGTCTGGCTCACCACCTTGGGTCCCGCATGCCTTTCTACCCCTGGAGCAAACCCTACCTGAAGAGTGTCTTATTTGGGGAGGGTTTAGGGTTTGGGGGGGTGGTAGTCCCAAATATAGAGTAAGATTATCTCCTATTTTTGGGTATAGTATTCTATACAAGAGAGAAGCATCTTACTTGCTTCAGCCATCAAAAACTACGCTATTCACCTGGACACCCCAAGTATGTAATGCAGAAGCCTGAAAGATCACCCATCCCATGCTTTAGCCACCAACAACAACGCTACTCACCCCAACGCCCCAGCAGAAGCCTTTAACATCACCAATCCCATCATCGAGGAATCATGGATAAGCAAGCAAATGGACAAGAAGCTGGAACATGAAATGGAAACCGGGAGTTTATAATGATTGTACGGGCATAGTTACCATCATTATGGTCTTAGGTTCCTTGTGTAATTATATTACAGGGCACCTCAAATGGACCTCAAAATGATATTGGTCATTATTCACGCCCCTACATGACAGGGATGGACGGTTTAAAATATGTTTAGCTGTTTAGAACCCTAGACCCGAAATCTTACCCACTGCAATCCTGGGCAAGCTACATGCCAGATACGCATGAAGTAGGGGTGCGACTATGGGTTTCACGTTTAGGGTTTAAGGTGTGTGTGTGTGTGTGCATGCAGGGTTCGGAATAGTGGTCATTGTAGAATTCCTTTCGGCTTCCAAGTGCCTCTTTGGGGGACCGAAATCAACATCCGGTCATGTCAGCCAGGGTCGATTGCATGTGAGGTCATTGAATGCTGTTCATATAAGCCCCATGCTAGGAGCTCAACCCTAAACCCCATAAACCCAAAGCGCTGGTTCGTTAGTAGCCTACATACACACTAATACTAAACCAAAGACACCCTGTTTTCGAAACCTTCACGCTCTGTACCACTGGCTCCAACAAGCTGGGTAGGCCCCTGGGATATTTAATATTTTCCCTAATGGCTTTAATAAAGGACCCTATATACTAATATTTTTCAAAGGGCTTTAGGGGCCAACCCAGCAAGGTCCCAACAGTGAGGATGATTTGCATCGATGTCGCCAATGGCTACTCCGAGGCCGCTTTGCTTGAGGTCGTGACGGCTCTTGCATGGAGGAAACACTAAACCCTATACTGGGTTGCTGTCAAGGAACTTAGAGTTGCCATAATGGGTATATATATATATAGTGATTAATAGGGTTCGCCTAATATAATGACTTGAACTAAGTTACTAAACAGCAGCCCAGTATAGGGAAGTGTCAGGGAGTCCTGTGTCAGGGGGCCCTAATATGTGGGGCCGCCTAAAGGGTTACTTAAACACGCGTTTAGAATTCGCAGGTTTGGAGTTTAGGGTTTTGGTTTCAGGGTTGCATTTTGCCTTGGGGCTGGAAGGTCACGAGGTTCAGGTAACGAAGTTAAAGAGAACTCTACCAGCTCCCCTCAGCAAAAAGCAGGCCTCCACTTACAGTGGAGGGCCATGTTACCAACTAGACAATGACACAGAGAAGAAGCAGAAACTTAATTCTTAAAGGAGCTCGAAACCTTTGTGGGCTGTGCGTTTAGGGTTCAGGGTTTGGGAGTTAGGGGGTGGGTGTACAATTTCAAGCCGAAAGGGCCGATCACGTTGACTCTCACTTGCAGGAAGGACTCCGCATCCTGCTGAACGCTGTTCAGGTTCTGTATGGCATAGCAGGTATAGCGGCTATGAACCTTTATGAACAATCACTCGAGCCGTAACCAGGTTACACCCTGTGAACCTCTGTAGTGGCGCTTGATGATAGCACCAGCCTTTTGCAACCTACCGACCCAGCTGCGGCCCAGCTGCGCACTTCCTGCACATGCCTTAGGGGGCTCAAAAGGTGGGATGAAAGTAGGTGGGCTAAAGGCTCTCCATGGTAGACTCAATTATGTTGCAGCCCAGTTCCTAGACCACACTTGCCTTGGCCTCGCCTGTTGAGCCTTCTGACAATGCCATCCTGCCCCAAACCCCAAGCCCTGAATCCCAAACAGTAAACCCTAAACCCTAAGCCTGAAACCCTAAACCCTTAGCCCCAGGCTTTTGTACAGTGCATCCGGGACGTGCGCAAGACGTATCCCAAGGCACAGTGTAAGGTTGATGCTGAAGTGCTGCAGCGTTGGGCTACTTGGTGGTTTCAGGGCAGTTATAACCTACTCATAACTGCAGATATTGCCCAGCTATAGGCCTCGTAAGCACCCTAACATGGTTATCATTGGGGTATGACTGCATGCAGTTGCTGTTGGCTTATAAGTCCTCTGAAACTTCAAGTAGGGTCTCCGGCAGTCATGACATACCTTGCATTTTACGCTGAATGAGTGAAGGCCGCGAGAGAGTTTACGATACAGAGTTTAGAGCTTAGGGTTTATTAGACTTTCTTACGGTGGGCTTGCTGGGGTGTCATTCTGCTTCGAGGACCTTAGAGATCCAAAAAAGTTCAAAAGGTCAGGACCTGGAAGAATCAGAATTGGGACCTGAAACACTTGTAACCCTAAACCTTAACCCCCTAAACCCTCAACCCTCAAGCCCTAAACCCCTAAACCCTAAACCCCCAAACCCTAAACCTCAAAACCCCTAAACCCTTATGCTTTGAGGTTGTAGGGGCCTAGGAGAAGCCCAGCGTCCCATGGGTTGAACTGCTGATCCCTGACGACAATATCACAAACGTAGTGGCAATAACAGTAGTGGCAATAGGGTTTAGGGTTCAGGGTTTAGGTTTTAGGGTTTAGGGTTTAGGTTTTTGGGTTTATAATAGTGGCGGCAATAATTACTAATTGGACACCATTGAACATAGTGCGGATCATAACCATAGGAGTAGCAGTCATACTGCATAAGATCCCAGACTCCTGTCATGAAAGCTTGCTGAACTTCATAACAAGAGAAGATGGTCGAGTATTTCGCGAGCCTTGTGGTAGCTTCAACAGCGCATTCGCGGCAAGCCTTCAGAATTAGTCATAAAGTCAATCCACTGGCTTACATATTCCTGCATCTTGACGCATGTAAATACTCCGAAGGGGCTGCCACCTCCAAATCCTCTCATGTCTGCACCAGATGATTGAGGAGGCTGTCAAATCAGCGAGGCGAAGCCACTGAAAAGCAACCGAACTCCGAACAGGCACAACCGACGGTGGATACAAAGAAGGGTTTAGGGTTGAGGGTGTGGGGTTCTGCCTGGCCCTAAGTACCCTGCACGGTAGCAAGTATGCTAGAATAGTATACTAAGGTCATGCTGGGTGCATAACATCAACACTAGGAGCTCCCACATCCTACGAACCTAAACCCCCAGCCCTACGGACGCCTAGAATCCCTAAACACAGCCTGAAAACCATACGTTGGAAGCTTGAGGAATCGCCAAAGCTATTCCGCTTTAAAAAACTTCATGAAGCTATGGTATAATATAAACCCAAGCCTTATCTCACTACATGGGCCTCTATCTCGTTTAAATCTTCATGTTAGCTATTGTATAATATGCCCAGAAACCTTATGCTAGCTACATAGGCAAACCCTAAGCCCGACACCTTCTGTCCAGATTACTATCATGGCCGGGAACGTCGTGACGAAGGCGGCGGATTTAGGGAAGCTTTGTGCAGTTGGGGGCATGGGGTAGGATTTGGGGTTTAGAGTCTTAGAGTCTAGGGCTTAGGGGGATTTAGGGTTTAGGGTTTAGAGTCTGGGGCTTAGGTAGGATTTAGTGTAGGGCTTGCTTGTGGATTTTGGAGCGCAAGGGCCTTAGGAAGGCTCGGAGGTGTCCGGTACAAGCAACAGAAGTGCCAAGGAGGGGTACGATTTTCTGTGTTGTCGTAAGCCCCCAAAGTATGTAAAATAATAGCCCTAAACCCATAATAATAGCCATGAAGGCCATTATTTTACATACTCTTGGGGTCCAGGTTGTCGTAAGCCATGAGGAACCTGGCAGACAGCCTGGTCACAAACTTTCATGGGAGCTCAAAGTACGAGCAGCTCTTCAACCAGCCGCAGTAAGATGGGAATGGGGTCCAAAGGCACCCTAAACCCGAAGCTCATTATGAAGCTTCGGAGTCCCTTGTTCTGAGATGCGCGGGGAATCAGGTCCCAAACTCATGCGAGAAGCAAAGCAGAAGCATAGATATCTTCTTTATTTATGCCGGGGCCTTTGTGCCAAGCCTAAGTACGAAACCTACGATGGACCCTGATCGATTCAGCCCTTCAGTCAAGATGCTCCGATGCAAGATCAGCTACGGTAGCTTTGGCTTCTACTTGTTGACCCTAATGTGCATTGGCGCGGGCTTCCGGTTTAACAAGAGTTTCTTAGGTCAGGAGATGCGTGAAGGTTCATGGGTGGCTACCGGTGGGGCTGTAGCCAGGAGAACTGTAGCTATACATAACCTAGCTCAGGAGACGTTTTGACCTACAAATAAGTAATTCTCCCTGAACCTTCAAGTGCAAAGAGGCAGGCCAACCCTCCCGTTGAAGGACTTATGTTCTGACCTCTTATATACAACCTGCTCACTGTACTACGTCCCCTGAAGCCTCACCCAAGGGTCCATGTAGCTATATGGTATATACTTGGGCCCCAAAGTAGCTATATGGGAAGCCCCTTTGGGCATAAGTATAGACCATATAACCACTTGCACCCTCTGGGTCAAGTAGAGATCCAGATACCAATCACGTGGGCCCATGGTTTAGGGCTTATTTATTGAAACATGACCCAAAGGCTTTTAAGCACCCACATAGGGAAAATGTACCCAATCTACCCAAGCTAGAATGGAATTTCTTACTACCCAAGCCATACTGAATGCTACGTAGATACCTTCGACCCCTTGGAGGATAAGCATCGGGCTTCAGCAGCCCTACCTATTCCAAGGCTTTACCGCAGATGTATGCTTATCATACCAGGGGGCGTCATGCTTTAGATGTTGACTTGCTAGTACAAGTCAAGTACTATCACTCCTAGTATTAGTTTCAGAATGAGTATTACTGTCATTACTACTATTAGTATTCTTACTGTTACGATTATACTTATTCGTAGTACTAGCCCTAAACCCTAAACCCTACTACTACTACTACTACTACTACGACGACGAATACTAGCATTTCCTGTATCGCTTTGCAGGAGATGACCGAGGAGCTTATCTTTAGCGGTGCTGATGTCATCAAGGCAGACCTACTCTTTCGGTTAGCAACACGCGGGGTTTAGGGCTCAGGGTTTAGGATTTAGGATTTAGGATTTAGGGTATAGGATTTAGGATTTAGGGTTTAGGGTTTAGGATTCAGGGTTTAGGATTTAGAATTTAAGGTTTAGGATTTAGGGTGTAGGGTTTGGGGTGACAAGGCTGTATGGGTTAAATAGGGGCTTGGGTTCTGTGGGGATGTATAGGGTCCAGGGCTTAGGTTGAGGAATCGGGGTTTCTCCAAAACAGGGAGGACATGTCGGGTAGCTGGGGATTTTAAGAGGCTTATGGATGGCCCTTGCAGGAGAGGCTAGGTCCAGCTTTGAGAACCATGCCCGCCCCAATAATGGACATTCTCTGCATTTGTAGTGGTATTGTAATGGGAATACTGAACATGAGGGGTGGGTTTGCTATCAACAGAGGGAGGGGGATTGGTTCTCAGCAGGGTTACGCCTTGTAGGAAGAGCGATTTTTTGATTGGTATACTGTGCAGGGGACAATTGGCAATATTGCGTACTGCTGGCTTCATGCTACACTGAACACAGAGACAAGGCAAAGGCCAACAACCCATAACAACCCCAAAACCTGAGAAAGAGAATGAAGAAAATCTTCTTGTGTGGTCACAGGGGGCCGCCCTGAAGCCTAAAGCCGAAGGTTTAGGCTTTAGGGTTTCCAGGGGGCCAACTCAGAGAGCAACAAGTCAGGGTTGCGATTTTTTTTCGTTCGCCTCTCAGGGGTCTGCACCCGATAGAATTCATTGCCAGAAGTGACAGAGATAAGCTCGAGAGCGCCAGGTCCTGCGTGCCAAAACTAGAGCCTACATACACGAGCTACAGTCTAGACTCCTTAAAGGGGGTCCTATAGGGGATATAGGGGAGCACTATAGGGGTTCTTAAGGGGGATACTAGGCGT